GGGCCCCCGCCGTGGCAGGCTGGTTTGATCCTGCCTGGAGTGCACAGGGAGCCCAGGGTCCCTCTGCAGGCCCCGTGTCCCTTAGCTGCACACAGGCTCATTAACAAGTGTGCCTGGGCTTGCCCTACAGCTGCCAAGCCGCTCCAAGTCTGCTGCTGACGGTGCAGGGTCTCCGAGGCTTGCCTTGGGCCTGGCCCTGGGACTTTCATCTGTGGCAGGCTGGTTTGATCCTGCCTGGAGTGCACAGGGAGCCCAGGGTCCCTCTGCAGGCCCCGTGTCCCTTAGCTGCACACAGGCTCATTAACAAGTGTGCCTGGGCTTGCCCTACAGCTGCCAAGCCGCTCCAAGTCTGCTGCTGACGGTGCAGGGTCTCCGAGGCTTGCCTTGGGCCTGGCCCTGGGACTTTCATCTGCAGGAGGGGCTGGCCGAGGGGCTTGGCGGAAGGTCATTCTAATCAGTGGCCTACTTCCTTTTCTCACTGTGGACCACACTGTCCTGTGGGGGGAAGCTTGTGCCACTTGCAAGGGGGCCCTGGGGCTTAGCACTGACTCCTACAGTGCAGGACCGGGCAGTATCTGGAGCGTCCCTGAGAGGTGAGCTGCCTGGGTAGGATTCCCCTGCAGCTGCCCCGGACGGGGTCCCCCCAGCGGGGCTGGTACTTACTCGCCATTGGCCTCCAGCTCACAGATCTCAAAGAAGACCATCAGATCGTACTTGCAGTGGCAGGGCCCAGCGCTGGGGCGCGCCAGGGTGCTGAGCTTCGTGGCTGGCACTGCGGCAGACAGAAAACAAGGCTCACCATCCGTCAAGGAGAAGGTGTTGAAGGGGGAGCTGGACTCCCGGCGCCACACAGGAGGAGTGTCAGGCAGAGCCAGGCCCGCTGGCCATGACTGTCAAGGAGAGCAGCTAGCGTGCTCTGAGCCCAGCTGGACATGACCTCTGACCCCCAACATGCCAAGAGCGGGGGAGAACATGCACTAACACATGCACTCAGTCACAGTTTGTAAACCCTTCCTCCCACTGCAGCGCATACTCCTGCCCACAGCCCCTCTGCAGGGAGAAAGGATCAGGCCTGCACAGGGTACAGGAGAGACAAAACGCACACAGAAGCAGCGACTTCTGCTTTTGCCAGTCTCTGGCTGAGCATCACCCTTTGAAAGGCCAGGCCCCTCTCCCAGCCAGAGGGCAGACCCCAGATCACAGAATGAGGAGGCAGGACACACAGAGGCAACAGCAAACCAAGACACTAGGCTGCAAGGAAAACCACTGGGACTCGGGTGTCCAATGCTGAAATGCAGGTAGCTCTGAGAGGTGTGTGCTGCTTTAGGAGCTCCGTGGGTGCTCCCCAGGCGCTGCATGGACACATCTCCCCAGGGAGGCCTGGCTAGAGACCCGAGTAGCAGTGGGATCTGCCACAGCAGTGTCCAGGAACCAACCAGGTTTCTGAGCCTTTCTCACAGCACAGTTCATTGCAGGCAGGAGGGGCACAGGGCTGGACTCCTCCCTCTCTGGCAGCAGGAACGAGGCGGCTGCCGTAGCAGTAGAGAGAGCACGCCCAGGGAGCACATCCAGAAGTGAGCCGGCTAGCACATCGGGCACCAAACACCTGATCAGCTGGTGGGATTTCTCATGCTCTTCAGGGAAGGGAAACAAACAGAAATCCCAACAAAGCAAAGCGGTTGAGCGGGGCCAGGGGGTGCTGCACACTTCAGCTTGTTAACCCTCTCGGAGCTGCTGCTCTCCACAGATGGCCCCCTCCACTCGCGGGGTGCCAGGACAGAGCTGCAGCACTCCCCTGCCCTAGAGGGGCAGGAAGGAGAGACCCCCCGGGATGGATAATCTGCAGTCCGGCTGCGCGTGCCAGCCCTTTCCTCTAGCTGGTGGACTGTCAGCTCGGAGGTTACAGTGCGAGGGGGCCACCGGGATGACACCAGCTAGGAAAAGGGTGGGGGCACCCTGGCAGGGAGGGCAAGGGCTGAGGCAGGTTGCTGGGGGGAGAGAGGTGCAGATAAGCTCGCGTCCAAGCTGATCAAATCCCAAGGAGCACACTGCAGTGCTGGGAACGATCCTGCTGCACCTTTCTTGAGGTTTTCAGAGGTCCCGCTCTCCCCACCAAGGCACCACAGGGCAATAGCCCCGATCGCCTGTGCTAGCCATCCCTCGGTGTGCGGCAACAGGCCACTCCAGACAGCATCCTGCCTGGCACGAAGCCATCGCCCCGGTGCCACCTTCTGCGGCAAATGCCAATGGAGCGGGGCTAGTAGCATCAGGTTTCCTGCACCAGGAAGGGAGCATCTTCTCCTCACCCCAGAAGGGCTCCTGCCGGAATAGCTGCCCTCACCTGCCACGCTCAGGAGTCCCCCCAGGAACGGTGTCTCTGCTCTCTGGGAATGTCAAGGGCCTGGAAAGGTCGCCTTCCCCCGCCAGGGGAGGGGGGCTTGCTTTAGAGACGCCAATTTCAGGTCATTATGCAATGTCACGCAGAACCCCTGCCTGCTCAGACCCTCTCCCATCGCCGCATGGACCCTTGCTGGCACATGACCACGGAAGGACCAATTCTCCAAAGCCCCACTTGCTTCCAAGCTGTGGCTTCTGAAGCCTAATATGCCTTAGAAGGGGAAAGCAAAGGCCTACCTGGTTTGGACAGTGGCATGACGCGGGGGAAGTGACGCCGGGACGGTCTCAGAGGGCTGTGGAGAGAAGAGACTCGGATGAAAGGGAACATGCAAAATACACGACTGGCCCAGAGAAGGAGCTCCCCTCCTCCCAGTCTCCCAGCACAAGAACCAGGAGACACTCCGTGAAGCTGGAAGGCAGAACACTCAACACCAGCCAAAGCATTAGACTGTGGAACCCACTGCCACAGGATCTCAGGCCCAGAGCTTGGTAAGATTCACCTTTATTTTCATACACCTTATGGAATGGAAAACTCTGGCTTCAAGATGCTGCAGAATTCAGCACTGCCAAGCTGCAAATACCCGAGAGCCTTTGCATAGAACGTAGAGACCTGATCCACAGGCCACGGGAAGGAAGGGGCTAACGCCTATTGATTTGGATGGGCTTTGGGTCAGATGCTCGGTCCAGGCTACGAGGCTTCGGTCTGAGCCAAGCAGGTGGGGAAGCCCTCCCGTAACCCACACTCACCTGAGCACATCCTTGCAGAGAGGGGGGAAGGGGTGCTGCTGATAATGCCCAAACACCTCAAACACAATCGGCTGGCTCTTGATGTACTCAATGAACGACTTGGTCACTTCCACCGCAATCTGAGAGAGGGGAACAGGGGCCACAATGCTTTCAAATGGCAACATCCGCAGTCCGTTTGCCTAGGCCCCGATCCAGCAAGGGGTTATGCATGCGCTTACGGTTAGACACCTGACGGATCAGAGCCGTCCCAGCAGGGCGGAGATCGATCAGGCCAGCAGCCAGACACCAGTAAACAGTATTTCTCCAAGAAACACGCTCAGCTCACCCCTCCGATGGGCTTTTGCTTATGTCACACTTACACCATGATGGCAGAATGCTGCTGGGTTAACGTCCCCAAGGCAAAGGCAGTCCTCTGAGCTCTGCCAGAGGAGGCGGGGTAAAATCCCTTCACAGGACAGGCTGGGGGGACTGGTCTAGAGGCGCCTCACAGAGGCACTCAGCAGCAGAAAAATCTGGAACCATATTGCCAGGGCTTACTGCAGAGAGGCCGGGAGCAGCCCTCAGCGAAGGGTGCAAAGCGCTAGAGCTTTTCTCTGCCAGCCCTTGAAGGAGAGGCGAAGCAGAAAAGCTCAGCCATGGGAGCCCTCACATCCCTCACCGGCAGGACAATGGGACAGAGTTTGTGCTCATGAGAGGACTGAGGGAAGAGAACAATGTGCTGGCTCACAGTGAGCTCAGTGACCCACCTGAGGGCCTGTGCCACGGGCACAGCACGCTAGACACAAAGGTCTGGAACGTTTGGGGCTCCTTGCCCTAACAGGGGTGTTGGCTGGTTTTCAGTGTAGCGCTCTCTGGTTTCTCTGCCATTCTCCTCTCACCCAGACACCCCTGGTCTAGAAGAGACTGAACTGCCCACAAACGCCTCCCCTGCGCGCTCAGCAAGGAGGGGCGATGGAGTGCTGGCTGCCACATCTGCTCACTGAGGGCAGCAGGCGTCCCTGGAGCCTATCGACCTACGACTGCTGGGATTTCTGGCATCGGGGGCCAGCGCTGGGCCAGCGGGTAGCTGGCTACTCTTCTGGGCAGATACGCAACTGCGAGGACCAGGAAGTAAAAGGGGAGCCTGGAGGAGAGAGACTGTGCGCTCCTCCCACTGTGCCCCTGGGCTGGTCCTGCCCTGTGGTGCGCCAGACACAGACTGAGCGATGGAGAACCGTGAGCACAGGCGAGGCCCTGGGTGGCTGAGGAAGTGCCTGTTACAGAGGGGGAGGCCTGAGACCGTCAGAAGGACACACGCACGGTTCCTTCCCCTGCCAGAACACAGTCGATGCCTTTGTAGCTAGCCGCTGTTCGGGTGTGCCCTACGTGACAACCGAGCCGCTCCACTGGGAGGCACGCCCTCGGTGAGCTCTGACCAGCCGACAGCCAGGTGCACCGTAAGGAGAAGGAAATTCTAGACCTCCAGAATAGCGCAGCAGCCCACTGCAGAGTGTGACTGTACCGCCCGTGGGCAGCGGGCAGTCCTGCGAGGTGGGTGATGGTGGCTGCCCCACTGGCAGTAGCAGGGATCCCCGAACCTGCGGGGGGCAGGGAGGGATGTTCAGGGTGGTGCAGTGGGGCTTGGACAGCCCCCTCGGCGGAGGGGAGTGACATCGAGTCTCACTCCGCCCCCAGCTGCAGCTCAGTGCCCGGCCCTGGCCTGGGCCCCAGTTCTAGTTGCGGCTCCACACCTGGCCCTGGTCCCTGCTGGGGCACAGGTGCACTCCTTTGGGTAAGGGGGAGAAGAGGGAAAGCTTGCGGGCCACTGTCAGAAATCCCTACGCTCGGGGCAGAGCCAGGCCACCCCAGGGCAGAGGAGCCAGCCTGGGAAGTGAGACTCACGTTCTGCACATGATAGAATCCCAGAGGCGGCCCTCGGCCCGTGTTCTTCAAGGGCTCCGTGGAAAAGGCCTCGTCGTGGCGATGGATAAAGCTGTGGAGGCAGGAGGGCAGTTACAGCGGCTGCGTGGTCAGCAGGGAATGAGAACGGCGGAGGGAGACGGAAGCCAGCGCCCACAACCCCGGGTCTGAATGAAGAGGACTCATTTCCCCTCCCCTCCCCCGGAGGCTGCGCACTGATAGGCTGCTACAGAAAGCCATTCTCCAGGGCCCGAATCCATGGAACGTGCCCATGGGCCCGCGCGGGCTTGGACAGGCCCAGGCGAGCGAAGGAACGAAGACCCGCTCTGCGGCTCTCGAGTCCTCTCTATTCCATGAGGCGGTGTGGGAAAACCTGCCCTTTCCCATCTCAGCGCTGGGCAGCCAAGGTCCCATTTCATTTAGGAAGCTAGCCAAGGCCCTTGCTACCTGGGGAGGGCAGCCTTGTGGCTGAGGCAAAGGCAGAGCGGGAGGAAGGGGGAAAATGCCAGCAGCGGGGAGCGATCCAAGGGCCTCTCACTTGAACTGGCAGAAGATGTCTGCGTATTCTGCCGAGATGCTGGAGGCCTGCAGAACTGTCACTCGGAAGGTGAAGATGCTGCCCAGCTTCAGATGGTCCAGAACGGTTTCCAATGGCTCATCTAGGGCAGCTTTCTCTGGGCTGTCCAGGAGAAGTTCCTCAGGAGTCACTGGGGAGGAGGAGAGCCATTACACATAGCCTGACAGCACCCTTCAAGGCCCAGTGACCTGCCACACACCAGCACAAGATTGCTTTCAATGGAGTCGCCAGTTCTCCCCTGCCACATCTCTGGCCCTTTGCAGTGTAGGTCTGGAGGGCCCAGGGAGTGGTGACATTTTCCATCCTTCCTCCCTCTCTGCCTCCCCCCACGACACCTCTCTAGGGCCCTTCACCTGCACAGGTGTTGTTGTTGACTTCATCTGCAGAAGGTCCGATGTCAGTTATCTGCCCCTGGCCTTCAACAATCCGCAGTTCCTCCTGGGAGGTCCCCGAACGAGACATCCCCGCCACAGGACAGGCCTCGGACTGGAACTGCCAGGCACAAGGGGAATGGATCAGAGAGGCTGTGGGTGTCCTGACACTGCTGACAGCCAGGCGCAGCTTTTTGGCTCTTGCTGGCGTGTCTTCCCCTTTGTACAGCGTGGCAGACACCCAGCCAGGCATGAGAGGCTGCAGCTTTTATCTCCTCTGCCTCAGTAATGGCTCCAGTTCTATGGCAGCAACAGCTGAACCCTCGGTGTTGCATACAGCACGTGAAATGGGACAGGGTCAAGCTGCCTGGGGTCCCATAAGGAGCAAGGGAAGGTCTGTACCGAGTGACCAGCACCTACCAGCTGTTCGCTGGCCCATGGATGGCACTTACACCACTTACAGAGAGAGAATGACTTTCCTCTACAGCCTTAGCTGAGAGCCAGCGGGCTTCTAGCTCAAGCTATGGGGGCTTTGTGCATGAGCCTCTGAGATCCCAGGTTTGGCTCCTCTGCCAGCACTACACATGCAAAGAACTGGAGGTTCCAGTCCCATTCAGCAAAAGTAGGTGCCCAGGCCTCTCTACCCACAGGTCTCTGCAGCCACGAGGTTCTTACGGGTGCGGCTGAGGCCACGCTTCAGGCTCAGGCGGGATGTGGCCATCACACCCTCTCCCACCCCATATCTAGGGCACTTCTCTTCTGCAGTCTGAGACCAAGAGGATAAAATACTAGGAAGGGCCCTGTTATCCGGAGATGGATAATAGCGAGGCCAATGCACTTCCTGGCAAGCCAAGGTGACAGAGAGATAGTCACCCGGGGCTGGCTGTACCTTCTCAAAGTGCTGATCGTCAAAGGATATTTTGGCTGTCCCTGACTGCCGTACTCCCGAGCCATAATCTGGGGCTTCCTCATCCGCTGAAAGAGGAAACATAGCAAGACATTACCGCAAAGAAGGAAAACCTCGCTCCCAGAGCAAGTCGCAGCCAGAGACGGGCCTCCTGGATTGTGCCCTTTCGTACACTGCTCCGAGTGGTCACTGGCTGCAGAACTTCATGAGAGTCAGTGAATTCCAAAAGGCAATCATGAAATCACTTGCAAAAGTGTTTTCCAGCCTCTGTGGCAGAGAGACGGTCAACAATTCTGCATAGCTACCAGCTATCCACGTGCATGCTAATCCACAAATCACTACCAATAGCACTGCACGAACGCCCCTGTTCATATAGAAGCAAAGACACAAGAAGTTAAGTGGATGATGGCCCAGATTATTAAACCAGGCACAATGTGGCAGCATTTTCAGTTTCTTTGCAAGAGCATCATGTGCACTTTGAAGCTGACAGAGCAGAATCGGTATCTGAAATGAACAGTAGCAGAAAACAAGTATTGCCAGTCATCTCCTCAGTCTTAGATTTACCATGATGAGAGCCCAACCCGTCTGTGGATCACCCTGCTCAAGGTGACTGATCGTTCAGATGAGGCAGCTTCACCAGGATCGGGCTGCATTCACGATGCATCTGGGACAGGCCCCGCTCTCCCTCACATGCAAGAGAGGCCCCTCCAGGCCTGGTTAGGTCCAGCTTATGAGGAAGCCAGGGAGTGAATGGGAGTGTCCCATTCAATCTCGTTCTCGCCCAGGAGACAGCAATTTGTGTGGGAGGGCGCGGAGCTACCCAATAGGCAGCTTCACCAGGATCGGGCTGCATTCACGATGCATCTGGGACAGGCCCCGCTCTCCCTCACATGCAAGAGAGGCCCCTCCAGGCCTGGTTAGGTCCAGCTTATGAGGAAGCCAGGGAGTGAATGGGAGTGTCCCATTCAATCTCGTTCTCGCCCAGGAGACAGCAATTTGTGTGGGAGGGCGCGGAGCTACCCAATGAAAGGCATTGGCGAATGCACACAGGCGCTGACGAACCGCCAGTGCCCTCTTCTGGCAGTTCTAATGGCAGTACAGGCGATGCTGCGGGACTATAGCTCCCACAATTGCTAGCACAGGAAGCTGGGTGTCCCTACATTACTAGAGAGGGAAGACATTGCAAGGTGGCCAGTGGGTGGCAAACCAACCAGCAATGCTCCACTGGCCCACCGAGCGCCACCAGCCAGCGTCTGAAACGCTCTGCAGACTCACCAGGGCTCTGAGGCAAGGGCAGCTCAGAGCCAGCTGCCCGCACTGGAAGCCCACGGTACCTGAGATGGCTTGCACGGCCACGCGCAGGAAGCCCTTCACCTCGCCCTTCTCGCTGACAATGGCGACGCGGTGGACCAGCGGCACCGGGTACAGCAGGTTGCTGAGATACACGAATGCCCTGGAAGAGCCAAGTAACACAGGAGAGTGGTCACTGCAGCCCCTGGGCTTTCCAAACACGCTCCGTGGCCAGATGGCAGCCAGGCTCACAGTTCACCGCTCACATCACAACATGGTGCTGCAAAGCAAAACTAAAGAAAGGCAGCCAGGGCCAGCCGGAAGGGGGCGGGGGGCTCAGCGTGCTTAGGATGGGCTACGGTGGCCTCAGGTTCCTGTGAAAGTGGCAGCGAGTTAGTGAGCACCAGTGTTCCTCCTGGCCATGGGCACCACCGCGTCGTGGGGAGGGTGGAGGAGGGGGCTGTGCTGGTGCAAGAAGGAAGCTAGAAGGAGGACCTCTTGCAGTGGAGAACTGGAGAACTAGGACAGAAAGTGCTGTGAAACAACCACGGGTCTGCTGCAGATGAAAGGGTCTGGGGAAGAGGAGGGGGAGGCAGGCAGGAGAAGGGAACGGAGAAGAGGAGGAAGGGGAGCAGAAGCAGAGAAGGAACGGCAGTTCTCGGTTAGTGCACAGAGTCCCTGCAGACACCTGTCTGAGAGAGAGAAGGAGAACTGGAGAACTAGGACAGAAAGTGCTGTGAAACAACCACGGGTCTGCTGCAGATGAAAGGGTCTGGGGAAGAGGAGGGGGAGGCAGGCAGGAGAAGGGAACGGAGAAGAGGAGGAAGGGGAGCAGAAGCAGAGAAGGAACGGCAGTTCTCGGTTAGTGCACAGAGTCCCTGCAGACACCTGTCTGAGAGAGAGAAGCTCTTGCAATGGCGGGGGGTCAACCCGGTTTCAACGAGGCCCGGGC